TTTCAGAAATTATGCTTAATAAATAGGATAAAACATGCAACAATAATTACTCCGTTTGAACACGTAGATATGGAATTTATATAAACAGGATTTGAGGTACTTTCCTGTTAAAGGGAACATTCATTATTATCGATGGTTTATTTCGCTATATCGATATTTTTGTTTACCGATCCATTACATATCGACAACTTATATTGTTTAGGCTAAAATAGTCTATTATATGGAATGAAACTGTTCTAAGCTAACCTAACATAACCAACCAAACTTGCTGTACTATTTAAAAATTCCTTTTGATAACAGAAAAGGCAAGTTAAACATGGAATGTTACACAGCAAGTTTTGTTAGTTATGTTAGGTTATTTTTTTTAGAACGGTATCATTTCATTATTGTTTGTTGATACTGAACAATTTTTATCGTAGTTGTCAGCTGATATGTTTCATTTTGTTAATATCGATATATCGAGAATAAATCATCGATAATAATGAATGTTCCCTTTAACAGGAAAGTACCGGATTTGATCTAGGTTTCTCAGGTTTAAATCCCACGCTACTACCACTAGGTTGGAACGTATATCAAAATTTGGATGGACTATCAGATATTAACAAAAGTAAAAAAAAACACACAATCCGAACTAAGCATACATTCGGATACAAAACAAATAGAGTTAAAATTGCTGATCTTTTAAAAAAATAGTGCTGTGGTAAAAAACTCTTGAGAGAAATAGGCATATAAGGTGTTAAGGTGTGCGATATTTTAATCTAAAATGATTAATTAATCAGGAATTCATGTTAATACACCACAGAGTCCAAAACATTTAGCTGGCTTCTCAACTGTACAGTACGTATGCGGAGTTGGGCTAGAGTGGTGCATTGTCCAAGTTTTACAAAGGAGACAGACTTTTGTTAAACGACTTGAGACTTAAGTTTGCCATTCAGTAAACACCCACTAGGGATCATTACTTGTGTTGCTGCTTGCTGCACGTTTAGTTGGCACATCACCAAATATATGATTGCTTCATATTAGTTTCAAATGATTTCTTTTAGGCGTATAGCTAAAACAAATATTTTTTTAATCCCAAAAATTTAACGTAGACGTTGTAAATAAAAACTGTTTGCAAGCGTTACTCAAACTATTTGTATTTCATCAATCAAGCAATATATTTTCAAAACAGTGATTGACGTGTGTAATGTATTCACATATAAGACGGTGAATACACCCAATGGATTGTATATCATACATGATTAAGTTTGTTTGATCATACCAAACTTAAGACATAATATAACATGTAATGAGGAGAATTACATTGTTTTCCTGCTTGAGTACTACTGAATACATTTCAATAACCATCACTAAGTTTCCTTTATGGCTACTTACTACGAAAGAAATGAAGGAAAATTCGTATCGTTAACAATTGTTTGATAGAAAAGTTATGGTCAAAAATATTTATAATAAAATGGTGAAAGATCTGTTGCGCTGATTTATGAACAAGATGAATCGACTGTAGTGATAAGTTTTCCTGGAATTTTCAATATTAATTATGAAAATACTTCATGTGAATATGGCCTCTCGCCTAAAGGGTTCGAATATGATTAGAGTTTTTAGCTAAAATCGATCACTTGTTACAATACAATTTTCTGTACCGTATTTTTCATAATATCAATAAAATATTTTTTGCTATAAGACTTTTTCAATGACCAACTCGTAATTAAAAATGTAAGTTTTTTTGTGTGAAAAGCATAACTTAATTCATAGAGAAACATGACATTTGACTGGCTATCCAATTTGTTGTAGTGCTTGCCTTCAAGTTTACATAGCACTAGTTCAAATCCAAGTGACATTTTCTACTCGAATGTATTGTGTCATTGTGCTTTTGTCATTCATGAATTTAACTCACAAAAGAAAAAGAGTAAACAATTCCTCTGGCACAAATAAACATACTAAACAAATAAAAAAAAATAAAAACAGGAATTTTATGGCTAGTTCTAAAGAAATGTATTCACTTACCGATGGAGATGAAGATTTTGCGGACCAGAGTGATGGAGATGTTTCGTTTAACGAGGAAGTCCACGAGGAACCCACAGATGAGGGCGAATATCCACATGACAAGGTAGGGAGCAGCAGACAGTAGGCCGTTCTGGAACATCGGGGTACAGATTATCTTATTTTTGTGTCTACCCCAATGGAATGTTTAATAAAAAAGGTTTATTTGTGTTTTAAGATTATGTTTTAAAATGTATTGTAATCAGGTCATGTGAGTGGCTCAATAATCTACGTTTTTCTTAGTAAAATAGCTCTAGACGATAAAACCGTCCAATACTGAATAAAGCGAGCTTTATGTAATTATAGTAATACTACTACATAGTATTGTGTTTTATTGAAGAATCGATCCAATTGGACGAGAAGGATCCTGACTGATGCGTTTTTGTACCAGGTTGACATAGGTTGTCATTAATCGATGTAAAGGAACGTAGTGGTTATAAGATTATAAAAAGCTTTTCCCATATTTTTCAAACGTTTCGTGTTTGCTGCAAACCAGCATTGCTTCCTAAAATGTTTTAATTATACAAAATTATTTATCTTACACCCCCATTAGATAATTGTGTAAGGTATTACCAACCATTTCTACCTCACCCGTTTCTCAGAATTAACGAGGACAGTTTTAATCCGTATCATTTTTATAAATTCTGGTTTTTAAGGTTTAATTTTGTTTATTTTTTATCGTATAGAAAAAGGAATCTTAACGAAAAACAGAATAGTTACAGTATTATTCAAATAGTTCACCAGATTCGTCTAAAAAAGCAATACTGTATAAACTGAGTAACTACTCTAATGATGTGACAACTTAAAACACATTAGACGACGATGTCGTTGTACGTCTCCTCACTTCACTTCGAGATAAAGATTGAAACTAAGACAAATCGAAAATAAACGATTTGAGAGAAGTCGTGATTTGAGAGAAGTCGTGATTTGAGAGAAGTGACGAATGGATGGGTAGACAAAGCGATTTGAGGTCGAGAGATATGTATTGTTCCTGCCTTTCCTCAATTTAGGTTTGAAACGTTTTACCCGTTTATATAAGAGTATATTAATGGTGCTGGAGTACAAATTGTCCAAAAATAGTTTTCACCTACCTCAGGATAATTAAATAGATTTCTTTAAATTTAATGTAATCTAAGAAACTACAAGGTTGACTTTAAAAGTTTTAAAAAAATTACCAAAATTAAAATCACTGTTGAAATCACGCGTTTTTAAACATAATTTATTGTTTGTTATTTTTTACTAAATGGTTGAATTTATATAGTCGTAGTTTTAGTTATGCAGTATTAGTTATATGATGTTAATAAGATGGATAACAATTTAAAGTACAAAATATTTGGTAATTTCTAAAACAATATATCTCAAGGCTTTTGATATTTGGAAGTTATCCAACATATAGAAATGTCTAACTGTAAATAAAAATATCGATAGCTTATTGTTTTCCAAGTAAGTGGGCCTACTACTTACAAAAAAGACTGCAACCGGTTGGGTACATTTTTAAATAATATGTAATTGGAGAAACTTAAAGTCCCGCACTCTAATAACTAGACATGCTAGAGGATGAACTTATTTAGAATAATACAGAGGAAATTCATCCCAATTGTTTGGAACATTATACTCTAGTAAGACACTAGAGATACATGTCTATATCACAACTCAATGCATTGCTCAATAAAACTGCATTCACTCAATGACGAGTAAAAGTATTATAAACATATAGACATTTTAAATTTAATTTATTAAATTATTTCTCTTTACGAACAATAGAAAACGTTCGCTGACCCCTCATAGAAATAAAAAGTAAAGATGATCGCAAGATCTCAGGTTCAAGTCACGTTCTCATGGGCAAAGACCTGGCTGAGAACAAGCCAGGCATAGATTGAATTTCGATCTGGAATGCATCGTAGAAGAAATTGTAACCGATGGGAACAATCGACGAGAAACAATATTGTTCCCATCGATTCCAAGAAATTATACATGCATAGAGAAATTATTTTACTTACGGTCAGCACCACGCCCTCTGGAGGCTGGACATGAGGGGAGAAGCCAATGAGGACGATGATCGGAGATATTCCACCGATGATTGGAGGGTAGGCGTTTCCCGAAGACATCGGGGGAAGAACCAAACATCGAAGGAGGGAAAGGAGGTCTTGGAGACGAAAATGGTTAATCAGTCTTGGAGAGGTCTGAGGAAGTAACACTTCAAAGAAGAACAGCCGTGGGGTTGTGGTGTCCTCGTGGTCTCGAGTCTGGTCGGGATCTTAATAGGCGCTTCAGACTAACCCGCTAAGTCACTGTCCCTACTCGATCCGGGACTCCCGGCGGTATCTTTGAAGTGTTACTTCCTCAGACCTCTCCAAGACTGATTAACCATTTTCGTCTCCAAGACCTCCTTTCCCTCCTTCGATGTTTGGTTCTTCCCCCGATGTCTTCGGGAAACGCCTACCCTCCAATCATCGGTGGAATATCTCCGATCATCGTCCTCATTGGCTTCTCCCCTCATGTCCAGCCTCCAGAGGGCGTGGTGCTGACCGTAAGTAAAATAATTTCTCTATGCATGTATAATTTCTTGGAATCGATGGGAACAATATTGTTTCTCGTCGATTGTTCCCATCGGTTACAATTTCTTCTACGATGCATTCCAGATCGAAATTCAATCTATGCCTGGCTTGTTCTCAGCCAGGTCTTTGCCCATGAGAACGTGACTTGAACCTGAGATCTTGCGATCATCTTTACTTTTTATTTCTATGAGGGGTCAGCGAACGTTTTCTATTGTTCGTAAAGAGAAATAATTTAATAAATTAAATTTAAAATGTCCATATGTTTATATTAGACCCATGATATTTATTTAATCAAAGAAGCAACTAGTATAACACCCTTACTTTATAGCTACCTACTAATTCACAGCAGAACTAGCTACCTGATGGATAGAAAAGTGCATGACACTCTTCATGTACTTGGGCAGGTCTGTGATGATGGTGAACAGTCCCCAGTCATGGCCTATCTGAGCGATGATGAGACCCCAGAGAGGAACTGATGAGAGGATGTGACGCCACGGGGTTGGTGGCAGGTCCTAGGAAAATTATATATTATAAAGATTGCCGTTGTTGTTCAAAGGTTTATTGCGGACATTTTCCATCACAAATGTAAAAAAACAATACACAAACGCCCAACCTAAGTTGGAATACACTACAGAGGGTAGCAGTAAAGAAATATGCACTGTATAGCAGTCAAGTCATGACACAACATGCAAATAATAACCAATCACAAAACACTATAATCTATAAAAGGTGTAACGTAAAAAGCTCACACAATGGAACACTAATAGCACCGTTCGCAATGATTCCACCAATGAAACTGAAAATATAAACTCACAAGGACGTAATAACCACCATTAGGCCTAAATAAACATTTTACTGATCATAATGGTAATGGTAGGCCTAATCCGATATTGACCAATGCTATCTCATAAAGTTACCTGAGCGTATTAAGGTTCAAGTGGAATTGGTCGTATTTATAGAATTTACTGCAAAATTAGAATCCTGGATTAACAATCAACTATTCAAGCTATTTTTGGCAAAACCACACAAATGCTCACGCTCAGTCTATATTAAAAGTGCGTTTAGTGGTAATGCATGCGCAGTTTTAATCTTTTCTGAGAGCTATTGGGGTATTATATTTATAAAATAGTTTTCCAGGTAATAAATTCATGCAGATAAAAAAAAAACATTATTTTGTTTTGAATTGCATAAGTTACTTATGAATAGTTATTTGTGCAACTAGTGAGCAAAGTGAGCAATTGACTCACTCGAGAGAAATCCTTCCTCTTTAATAACGAGCCGTAGGCGAGCGAGGAATGGTTTCTTGAGTGAGGCAATTGTACTTTGCACTCGAGTTGCACATTATATTTTTCCTACAATTACCATAAAACAAATAAATTGGTGAAGAAACGAAACATATTTTTACACAGAAGTGAACTTTTAATATAACATTTAATGTGAAGTGACACATACAACAGTACAACAGCTGACCAGCTGATTTACAGCCAGTGCTGCCAACGTATTTCGAGCGCATACGACCTTGTCTGCATGTTACGCGCTCACTATTTCGTGCCTTCACATTACAAATCTGGAGTGAGACAATTAATTACACAATTGACAAGTAATTAGAGTGAGACAATGTTAACATTGTCTCACTGATGAGTGAATTGGCCACTTTGCTTTCTCAAATCAGTGAGAGAACATGTACATTGTTAGGTAACTGTAGGAAAAACTTATAGAAGATATTTTAACACGTTTTAGCAGGTAATTTAACTGTGTGTATCTACATGTTATCATAATGCAGATAAACAAAGAGAGTTTACATTCACTAACCTGTCGCTTCTTGGTCTGCCCAACACTTTGGCCCATGAGGAAGTCCCTCTCTGCGTCACTGATGAAAGGATGACTCTCAGGATCGCTGTAACACAGTATCTGCCACGCAGCGAGCCACACCAGGCCGGCGCAGCCGAACACGTAGAACACGTTGACCCAACCACCGTCCATGTAGCGGATCAGGATACCTCCCAGAGCCATGGACACCACGTTGCCTATCTGAGCTCCTGCAAGTAGACAAGTATTGTAGCTAATGTAAACATGTAGCGAATCAGGATGCCTCCCAGAGCCATGGACACCACGTTGCCTATCTGAGCTCCTGTAAGTAGACAAGTACTGTATCTAATGTAAACATGTAGCGAATTAGGATACCTCTCAGAGGCATGGTTAACACGTTGCCTATCTGAGCTCCTGCAAGTAGACATGTACTGTAGCTAATGTAAACATGTAGCGAATCAGGATGCCTCCCAGAGCCATGGACACCACGTTGCCTATCTGAGCTCCTGCAAGTAGACAGTACTGTAGCTAATGTAAACATGTAGCGAATCAGGATACCTCCCAAAGCCATGGACACCACGTTGCCTATCTAAGCTCCTGCAAGTATTGTAGCTAATATCTATAATATTAAAACGAAAGAGTGTTTTTTTATTTCACGATTCTAAATCAACCACTCGACGGATTTTCATGATTTTTTTGTTGAAAGAAAGATAATTTTGAGAACTAGGGAATGTCGAAGCCATAATTTTAGTTTAGGGTCCCAGTTTTTTAGAACTTAAGTTTCAATTTTTAAAAAGTCTAGCAGCCGACGCTAATGATTCTAAACTAGATTTGGCATAAAATAATTTGTTTAACATAACAGCTGTAGACATTCAGCTTTTGTGTCACAAATTCAGCATTTGGATAAAAATGTAAAGACATACTTAGGGTTGACTTATTTATACTATGTGTAATGCTAATCATTGATACGTTCAATTCTTCTGTAAGAGGATGACAGATTAATTGAATATACATAGTAAAATACTAGGTTGTTCAAATTATTTTTTAAAGCAATCTTTGTAATATTCGATTTGTTTCAGAGCAATATAATTTGTTTTAACTAACAGCTGGTTAATTATAAACTATGGAACTTTGAGGTTATTTTATTTACTCTTATTTTGTCCTTGATTATAGGAAATAAGTAAGATTAGTAGAGATAATTAGACCACAGTTTTAACCTAAATTAATTAAACCACAGTACAAATCGACTCTCTGTACATGAGTCTTAATAAAAAAGGATAAATGCAAATTATTTTACTGCTCCACTTTTCAAGGAAAGATTAGAAAAATAACAATGTTTACATATTTTAATTCTTAATGGTAGCCTTTTGTTTACAATTAATGTTTGTCTGCTTTAACTTTGTTTGGATTAGGCCCGGAAATATTGATGTCATAAAAAGAAGATCAAGAATAATCAGGAATCACGATTTTAAATTACCACCACAACCTCAGCCGGGTTTTATCTATAAGTATAAAAGAGGATGTTTGTATATATATTTGTTTGTTTGTTTGTTTGTTTGTTTGGCAGTGATAAACTCAGACACCGCTGAACCGATTGCCACGAAACTTGGTACATACGTGTAGAATGTCATGGAATAGGTTTATACACCATCAATTTCGTGATCCGTCCAATCGGCTCCACCCCAGTGGCTCTGGAGTTTCCCAAGTTAACCTTATGAGAAATGGAATTAAAAGAGAAAAGAATTTATTTATAAAAATAAATACCTCTGCCTTAAAAATAAGGTTGCCAATGACACAGAAAAATAGTACACATGAAATATCGAAGGATTATACACAGCTATGAGACTGATTAATTTTGATGTTTGCCATATAGATGTTTTCTCATTATGGCCAGTGAACCTCTTAATGTTTCATGAATAATAATTTTCAAAAAGGATCTGTCCAAATCATATTGTTTCCAAAAGTTCACAAAAAATCTTAACAGCTGTTTCAATTAAACAAGTTGGTTCTGTTCTATGATGTTCAATAGCATTAAAGTTACAAGGATTACCAACAGGGTGCAGCACTCTATTATTTCTTTCACATTTATGACAACAGCTAATTTGCAACTAAAAGGTGAGTGAGCGTAGCGAACAAACTTCAACCTGGAGGCGAGTTAGCGTAGCGAACGAGCTAACCTGAAGGCAAGTGAGCGTAGCGAACGAGCTAACCTGAAGGCAAGTGAGCGTAGCGAACGAGCTCCAACCTAAAGGTGAGTGAGCGTAGCGAACGAGCTCCAACCTAAAGGTGTGTAAGCGTAGCGAACGAACTTCAACCAGGACGTGATTGAGCCATGCGAACGAGATCATCTTGAAAATTAAGAAGTTAAACGGGGCAAAGCCCGCCGGATTATAAATAGTCAAAGGCAAGACAACGTCTGCCGGGTTCAGCTAGTACTAAGTTAATAATAAATCTAATCCAATCTAGTCTAGATAAAAAAATCTGCCTAATATGTGTCTTCTGACCAACAGTTTCTCCAGAAAAGATAGAGGCGGCACTCTTTGACTATGTGATCCATAGCTAGAGGCTTTGATCTATAAGACTGACCTTGTTCTCATTGTGTAATGACATGTCATTATCCTCCAATAGTTAAGTTACACCTACTTTTGTGATTGGTTCGAATATAAAAAAATATTTCAATGAAACCGGTGGACCATGATGAATATCTCAGTCTAAACGACGTTATACATATGGAATTTGGGAACAAAGTAACGGTGTCTTTTAGAAGCATAAGCCTAATCGTTTAGAATCAATATTTATTAAACAAAATTTAAATTTAAAGATACGATCAAATAAAGAAACCCACCTCATGATTGAGTTTAAAACACTTTTTACATACATTTTAGATTGGATTTATACCTTAAGCCATACGTTCTTAGAACTTTCTAAAACAGTGTTATTGCATACGTGTCCACGCTTATAATATTTTCTAACTCTTTTATATACATTATTGTGCATGTGATGAACAGAAAAACTACGTGAACGAACAGATTATGAAACACACGTTTACTAAAAAAGCACAGGCTTAATCCCACTTTACTTTTGATATATTACATTATAAAGTTTTTTTAGTATTTGTAACAGTAAACAATATTTATTTGCGATCAGAAACAGGTTACTATTTGATTTAAATAGTAAGTCTACAAATACACGATTAATAAAACAAGTACACGTTGTAAAAATAAAATGAATCCATAAATATGCTAATTATTTAATTTATCTATATACTATTATAAAGAAGAGGTGGTGTCTGTGTGTGTGTGTGTTTGTATGAGGTAATCTCAAAAACTACTGAACCGACTGGGCTCAAATTGCACACAAATGAAGCTACAGCTCCGAGGATACATATAGAACTATTCCCGCTTCGATATTGTCCTAGGGCTCTGCCCCGTGGGCTTTCAAAAATTTGAGGTGAGAGATTTAAAAGTAAATATTGATTGATGGTATCCATGGTAACAAAGAACAAACCTACAAAGTTTAAAAATGTAAACAAGCAGAACTAACTGTCAAACGAATTTTGATTTCACAATTCCACACAGCTGGTTCAAACATATTAAATACTACACGAATATTAGAACAGAGAGGGTAAGGATTATAAATTTAAAATAATGATGTCACTAAGCCCGAATGTAAACATTATTAACATTACTTAAATGGAGCTGTCAAACCATATGTTAATGTAATTTCATTAGTGTATGATTCTTTCAGTTACTTCATTTGTTTATGTTTATGATCTATTATACTGAGTCTGTTTTAATATTTGTGAAATGTTGTAATAATATTTTACAGGGAATAAATCTTTGTAAATAAATTGTTCATGGATATAGGAAATAATTAAGATTCTATAATCAGAAAGTTTTGGATGTACGGATGTATAGATGTATGGATGGATGTTTGTGACAAGTAAACGCGAAAAATACTAAACCGACAAGGTTGAAATTTAGTATGATGATAACTGACATTCCCGATAAACATATAGACATATTATTCTTACCTCAAAAATCCTTTCAGGCTCCGCCCCAGTGGCTCTGGCTCTGGAGTTTCTCATGTAAACCTTATGAGTATTCATATTTAAAGAAATTAAAGAATTTCGTCAGCCGTTTCAACTTCACAAGTTGGTTCTATGATATTAAATAGCATTAAAAAGGTATAAGGCTTACCAACAGGGTGCAGCACTATTATGTTTTTTTGCATTTATGACCAGAGCTAATTTTAACCAACTAGCAACAAAAAGTTGTGGTACACAATGAGAACTTAACTGTTTTCATGGTTTAGGTGCAGTGGTAGAATATTAGGGCTATGGTAGATACTATAGGACACTATATGATACTATATAATACCATTTAAATTAAAAGACCAAATTTTAATAAACCGTGTCCTCTCACATAACTAAAAGCATTTATACTTATATGCCAACCCCGTACGAAGGACGGGTACTCTGCTAGTTTTTAATATTTTTAATGAGAATTGAGAGTAAATAAACTTTGTTACATACCAGCAAATACAACCGCGCCAAGTCGTCCCCTCTCCTGTGGAGGAGCCCATTGGGCTAACATGACGTTGAGGCTGGGGTACATTGGACCCTGAGAACAGAACAGTAAAACGTTAGTTCTGCTACAAACCCTAAAAATACAACGCATAGTGATAAAAAAACAACTGAAATAGTTATTTGTGTAACTAGTGTGCGAAGTGGCACTTTGATGTACATGAGATAAATGTTTACGCACAAAAGCGTTTTCTACGAGCGAAATGAGAAACACTGCATCAGCTGGTCGTAGTCGTAGTATCATTAACTGTTGCCTTATTTTCAAGCGTAAATTAAACTTTTGTGTTGCTTGGTTGGAATACTGGAGTGCGGCAAACAATAGTGCGGTAAAGTTAAAATGAATGCGGCAAAAGTAAGTAAAATGCATCAATTAGCTACTTGGCGTACTATAATCAGCGCAAGGAAGCCCACTTTGACAGGTAACTGTAGAAAACAAGATGGTTTTATTGAACATAGGTAGAGCTGTTATGAATTACTATCACACTCTTTTGTCGTTCGACATTTTTTATTAATTATGATGGTTTTCATGAAATTTTAATTTGTATTTTAAACCCCCTATATTAATATTACACAACCTATCTTAGACATTCAAATGTATGTTAGTTTGAATATGAAATGTAATACAGATTTTGTCCCGAAGTTAAATTGAGAAAATGATAACTTAATAACTTACCAAATAAATTAAATTCCGAGAATGCACGAGTGTCAAACAGGGACGGAAAAGAAAATCGAGCATACATACCAATATAAACAAACGAATGTTTATTCTCTGTTGAGAATAAACATACAATAGTTATTGTAACTACGTGTAACATGTTATTCTAAAAAAATTGCTATTGGCGTATTAAATATATAGATGGAGGTTCCATGTATGCACATGTGCTGATTGTATAAACATCAAATATCTTTGCCGTAAATATTCCCTATTTGGTTGCTGTAACTGGTCTACGATTTATCGTATTCTGAGTAAATATGTACTTGATGTATGCATGTGATAAATAAAAAAAGTTGTTATGAAAAATATTTAAGAATATATATTGAATTGTGTATTTCCACAACCCGTTAAATGTATCTTTGTTTATTTGAGAAAAATGAACACAAATCATGATTCATACTAATTAAGGATCAAAGAAGTAGTGTTTTCAGATTTTGTTATAGTAGAGAACATTTTATATAGGCCTATATATAGATTCAATAAACCTAATTTAACATAAGAATAAAATTTTCCCGATCATAACTGAAGTAAGGTTATATTAAAGTTCCTTAGGTATTTTATTAGGATCATTGTAACCTAAATAATGAGCCATTCAAGTATGTTTTAACATAATAATACCCATTCGGATGTATTTAAGGCACAATTTCTTCTGTACTAATTAGAAAAGGGAAGTGTATTTACTAGATCGATTCATGCTACCGTTGTTTAAGATGACAATACGTTTTACTCGTCTATGTAGAATTGTAAGTAAACAAATTTTCCCACACTTATTTCGCACTAAATTATTAACTTGGAGTTGAGTTTCGAGTAACATTTTCAATCACCGACACTATGTAACTAGTATTTATCCGAAGTGTTTTACTAAAACGGCGACCCATGTAATGTGTTGTACTGTATGAGCACGCGAACTTAGCAAATACAATGTTTCTGAGAAACTAATGTACTACATTGCCGATATAGCATTTCTTAGTAACTACCTATACTGCTTTACCAACACTTTGACTAGTAGTATTCTACAACAATATCAACACTGTTTCAGCAGTAGCGTTGTCATATTGATATAAATTACACTAGAAACTGTATGCTGTAACTGGATTAGTTAATTAAGTTGTCGTTATTGAGCGACTCAGTCAATTATCCGCAGAGTGAGGTGTAATTGAGTTGTGTATGCAATTAATTAATATCGTACACTTGACTCTTTACATTGTAATGAATATAACGCATTTATTAGTATTATTATTCAAATTGAAGTATTAGGTACAGTTTGATTTTGCAAAAGTATAGCTTCAAAGTGTTTTTTAATCAATCCAAGTTACAATTACAAGTGAAGACACTGATTAACAACAAAACAAGCTTGTATGTCGGCATCCCACTTTTCTCCACTTCATTGCCGATCAGCTGATATGGATTGTTGCATATATATCTCTACATATTATAGATACATATCATCGTATTATTGGGAATTTACTTCTCTGTGTTGTAAATAAGACTCGACTTTGAGATTTCTTAAGCTTAAAGTATATAATTATTTTGCAAAAAAATATGTTAAATTAAGTTTCCAGTTGTGAATCCAGTACTTGGGAAATACACTTTTATTGAAATTTACATATTTAAGGAAACATGATCCTTAGGAAGCAAAATAAAAGTTATACTTACAATGAATACTCTACTTTAGCTTGTGAAAATACCATGTTGAGTCATAATTACAATATACTCCTAATAACACTTAGACTAGCCACCTCATTGATAACCATGCAACAATGCATATGAGCTGATCGGCAATGAAGTAAATAAAACAGGGTACTTAATATTTGGGTTGTGTAAAAAAAAAACGCCCTTTATGATCATTATGGAGTTTTTCAGCAACCTCTCTCATAAATTAACACAGTGCCCTAGATATATAATGAAATAAAGACTGGCTAGTACATTTTGTTTAAAGAAAGACTTTTTAACTGGTCAAGCATCCAATTATAAACAACTTAAGCCATTTTATATGATGATACCACAACAACAAGGTTGATTTTAACCGAATCAACCTTGTTGATTCGGTTATAATGGAAGATGAGTGTGACATTGCGTGTAACATTTTTACAGACTAAAATCAGCTCCCATAGTCATTTTGATAAAAGTCCAATAATTGAGGTCAGTCGAACTACTTTAAACCAATCATAAAGCTATTTATTTTTAATACGATTGAACCGGTGACCTCCCGACTGTGAGCACTATAACCACTCAGCTACCCAGCCAGTCTGTAAAGTGTGTGTATGCAATAGTATTTTACTCCAGATCGCCAGTTTTAGGTTCAGGGAACACCGATAAATCTCTCCTGCCACTAATATCTGTATGAATTTATTCACTGTACTATGTGGGATGAATCAAAATGGGATGAAATTTCAAACGTACCTGTCCCATTCCGATGCAGAACCGTATGAAGATGAGCCAAGCAGGCCCCATCCTTGCTGCCCACGGTGTCAGCAGTGTTCCTATGGTGGATGTCAGAAGTCCTAGACTCAGCACGTGTTTGCCTCCGCACCTCTCCGCCAGCAGCCCTCCAGGCAGCTGCGTCAGCACGTAGCCCCAGAACACTGCTGAGAGGATCACCCCCTGGGTAGCCTCTGACCAGTCGAACTCTGCCGACTGTAATGTATCAACTAATTAAAAAGTGCTGAGGAATAAGATTTAAGAGATGATTTATTTGAAGTCCTTCCTTCACATTATTGGACGCTTAGGATGATTTAATCCACGCTACTTTAGAATAGGCCTAGAGAGTTATCCCAAAAGAATTCATTTTCCCATGGCAAAAGACCTCGGGCATCGAAGCCTCGCACTCTACCACTACCAGCCCTCTCCCATGGGAGTAAAATATAGCAACATAAATACTAACCCAGATACACTCTTATAGTCATTAGGTGTATTTCAACTCATGTGTATGTTTAAATATTATTAAAATATGCACAACATTTAACATTACTACTAAAACTCACGTATGGTGTTGAATAATTGCAAAAAGTAGTAGTTGTGGTCATAGCACGTCTCAATTATAAACCTACATTATAAAAATGTTTCTGAGGAAAATGTTTTTGAAAAAGATTATCTTAAATATCTCACAAAATACTATAAATAAAACGTGCTTAAGGTTTAATAAAGCTAAAAGTGGAAAGTTGTGGGTTCACATTTTAGCGAATTTCCCATAGGGAATAAGCTATTACCGTAGGTCTCATGGTAAGACCTAGACCCGGGACCGATTTACTTTTTCGTTTTGAGGTCCCCAGAGGCCAAAAACACCATCCGTTCAAATTCATATATATATTTATATATATATATATATATATTTATATATATATATATTTATATATATATATATATATTTTTATATATATATATATATATATTTATATATGTGTCCGTTAGCGCGATAACTCGAGCAAAATTGATCCGATTTTGATGAAATTTGGTACAAACGTGTAAACCTACATTTATTCGAACGAGTTCGCGAACCAGCATATTCGGACCATGGGATCAGGGGTTTATGGGAGGTTTTATGGGGTAAAAATGGGTTTTTCTCATTTTTGACCCTAAAAACTTTAAATTTCTAAATTTCTCTCTAGACCATTTTGAAGAGCTTAAAAAAACAAATAATTTAGTATATTGAAGTGTTTTTGAATGTTCATTGACTACGGAGAAAATTAAAAAAATTGTAAATTTAAAATTCCCATGTTGTTCATATGGAGAATAAATAAACTGTTCTAATTTGCTTGTTTATGGATATATTTTAATCAAATTTGGCAATTTGGTTTATTTCATACTAAGCTATCAATATTTCAATTGAAAAAACACACCTCAACATCTTCCCCGTAGCAGCAAACCTAACTACTCACTAAAATTAATGTTATTTAAAAATGGAAATAAATCTGAAAATTTATAGGGAATATTTTAGTAGAAATCAAGCCGGGTAAATGGAAATTCGCTTAGTATGCAGGTTTGCTGCGACGGGGGTATTTTAAGAGTTCTACAATGACGATTCATAACGGTTCTATGAGAAAAAAGTAAGCTGGGCTCCCCTTTGCACTCTCGTATAAACTTGCTTATGTAAGGTAAATTTTGAAATACTTTGCTTGCTAAAATACAGACTATTTCCTTTCATTTGCAAACCTAGACTACTCACCGAGGTGACGTGTGACGCCCCTCTTAGTGTCAAGTTGGTTTGAGTATCGTAAGGGCAAGCGAGCGGGTCTACTGGTCTGGAGAGAGAACTACCGCCGTGGTGGGGCAGAACCATCTCCGTGATGGCCAGACTGAGGCAGAACCTCTGGATGTAGCCGTTGGCGATGGCCAGGAACCCCATGATGGCCAGCACGTACCGCTGTGGCACACACCATCCTGGCCGAACAATCACATCTAAATTACAATGACATGTGTACTATGCTCAGACTAAAGCATATATAACCCAGACCAGACAATTTAAAGTATTTCCTTTAGATCGGTAAAATGCCATCAGTGTTCATACTCAACAGATGGCTTGACCAGATAATAAAGTAATAACTACAAAATTGTAATTTGTTAGATCCTGTTTGACCCTTGTTAACTTAACTATATCAGGAGATCCAAAATTAATTTCAACTAAACTGAACCTTCAAAATAGATTGGTTTCTACATGTAAAAACCTGACCAGTCCTTTCGCTAATTCAACAACGCTAATTACCCCCGAAGACCAAAACTCTACGGTCCACTTTGAGGAAAGAACCCCTGACCAACAAACTGTAGCACTTCACAGTGTATAGTGGTTAGGTTAAACAGATCCAAATACCACGAGAATTCAAAAACTACTGAAACAATGCATGATACAATTTTTATAGCATTTAACGCGTCCTCATACCAATGGTGTCGGTTCACTTAATGAAATTTGAACGGTCCTATCATGTTTGATTTCAGAAATGAAGTGAAATAAAAATTGGTTTACTTGAGAAACGATGCTTAATGATTGAGATGATGTGATTAAAGGAGATAAAAAATTTAATAGTATAATTAAGCATACATTTGTGGATAAGTCTACAACTTAATTTGCATCATTCGCAATATTAAAATATTCAACAAATATTGCAGGATTATTAACTTTCACCGAGTAAAATTCGGCTATCCATTATTTAGTAGATTTAAACATTAATAAACATCTATGCGAAACAATCTCACCAATATAACTAACCGCAAAATGGTCCTGGTGCATGCCTAATGTTTTCGTGGTTTTGACTCAACTCCCACAAATGCTTTTACACAAACTCGATGAATTGTAGTATCCCTATGGTAGAACCAGAATTCTTGGTAATCTCACATGGTCTTAAGTTAAAGGTTGTTTTGCAACAAAGTCTTTCGTGAGGTTAATATATTTAACAATGGTGCAATTTACGTAAGAAATATATTCTTAAATTATCAGTATTGTTGATATCAAGATCCTGTATGGACATATATATAATAGGTTACGTACCTTGTTCTGTCTTCAGTCTTAACTTAGTCTGTGGATGACTAGTTTCGGGTACAAAGACCCATTATCAAATCCTTATTCAAAACGTCATATTGAATATGGTCAAATATCCGACGTAAGTCTTCATCAATATATACATGCAGGTTGACGACACATAAAATTTACAAATTTGAAAAACAAAAGTTACAAATACATTTACGATAGGCCGGCCACATTGAATACGTGACAAACCGAGACAGGTTACACGGCGGACACGACAAACCGCCTGTATGGCGGCAAAGCGTCCTGTATGGACGCTTTCAACAGATCTAAAGAAATAATAGCTATGAGAATAACACTGCAAAAGGAAACAGCGATCAGGGACATCCTTTGACAGGTTCAATGTACGGCTGCAACGGACTAAATAGAATACTAACTGATTTGTGTATTTTGTAACCAAGTTATTTTTAAAAATACGTTAGTTTATTCTGAAGCTCTTTATTAAACTATTTGGTGTTAAGTTGGGGGAGCTTTCCAGCGTTCTCGAGCGAGATGTCTACCATGGATTGTTTTCTTGAGTTCGATATATAGCTCAATTGCTGAGATGGTCGCGGTTTTCATTGTTAAGAAATAGTAACGATTGGCGGATGTTAGATCCAGTCGGCAAGGACTGACCATCGATGTATAATAACTCTTTATAGTTAGTTATTATAAATATAAATTAGTTTATAGGGAGTTATTATACATCGATGGGACTGACCTGAGGCGGATCCCTTACAATCACACGCAACATTTGTTTACACTCTAAATAACAAATAAGTGCGCCTCACTAGTCACTGTGACTAAAGCATTATCCTAATAGGATTTCTAGTCACAAAGTGCTGGCTAAATTTGAAAAGTGTGTTTAACAAACTCTGTATGATTATGTTCCAAGAAGTGTGCAAACTCTGACACAAGCTGTCCGAATGAACGCTGAATGCAACACTTACGATGAATAATGCAAGAGCAAACCAAGGCTTTTATGTTGTGGTTCTGAGTACTCCCTAGTTGTTCAAAGAAACCCTTACACTATTACCACGAATGCAATATTGTGCCACTAATATATATGTTAAATCTATGTACTATCATAGTTAGTATGTATACCTTCAAAACCAGTTCAACTGTTTTATTTTATTTTTTTTTTTTAAACATAAATCTAGTTTCTTTAACCAAATCTTAATACAACAAAAAGATTTTTAGCTTTTAATTTTCTTAGCTGACCCTAACAGCTCATGGTGGCCTTTAACCTAGACGATCCTCTCATACACTTATGGTACTGTTGTATAACGTTGTTTCTATCAAATATTTCTTTGATTTTTCCTAAAGGGTTAAACTAATTTTATTTTTAAGCATGTACAAATTGAAGAAAAACTTGATGTAATCGACCACACCCACCCCCTCTTTCCCCCTTTCTATCCCCTCGTTTCTCTTCTCTAGACAATGTTAAACTTCAAATAACAATGGCTTTGTTTCCGAATATTAGTTACTTTTTACAGTTATTTCATCATTATTAATGTTAAATCATTTCATAACCTAACAGTAAGGATTTAACCAGTTAGTTAACTCCGGGTTGTTTCAATTTACTTAAAGCAAGTGAAAACTCAATGGTCATTCCGTGGAGCGTGAACAATGAGATAGCCGGAACTACTCACAACAATACAAAATGGCACCAAATCTGCTTACTGTATCCGCCTGTGCCGGAACTAGAGAGAGAAAGAAGAAAGTTCCACGGCTCGACTGAAGCGAAATGTGTTCTGGAACTTTCCGTTGATGTGTTCAACTTCCTTTCGATCCACCCCATAAAGTTTCAGCACCAGGTATATTCGCAGGTAAAGTGTTTATTATTTTGTGAAATATTCTAAGTGAATTTCTTTGTTTGTTTGCTGTTCAACGTTGTAAGAAGGAAGTGTTGAATTAGTTTCAGTACTTGTATGTGTGTTTCAACACATATACGTGTTAAGTTAGCCAAGAAAACATTTCACTGAGAGGAAACGTTAATTTTAAGTGTGAAAGATATTTAATTTTATGAGTAAACTAGTAGGGTAAATTAGTAGGGTACATTAACTTTTCTAAATCTATACTTATTTAATACGCAAGCAGATTTTTTGTGACAATTACTCCTCCGAAACTACTGAACCGATTGTCATGTTTTTGGTGTCATTGGAAAGAGCGTAGCGTGAAGTTGTGCAGGAAACTTTCTTTTTAGGGAAATAATGAGAGAGTGAGGCCCTGGAGCCCTTTAAAGTTTCGTATTTCCCCATAAGGATAACATAGGAGATAATTTTTATTTACAGAAACATATGTTTGTTATTTGAACATAGTCAAAGTCTACTACATAATAATTGCTGTGTATTATGACTGTTGATGTATACTACATTTCAATTTAAGGATTGTATACCTTAATGTTTATTCATAATGGATCTTACTACTTTATTTTAATTCTGGGAATAGTAAAATTTAGTTGAGATTAAGTTACCATGATTTAGAAAACTTTGCTATAATAATCTATGTATTTAAAATCACAAATCTTTGACATTATTTATTTTAAACAAAACAGATGATCGACAAATCAAACAAATCATGTACTTCAAGTGAATAATGTTGTTACACAAAAATAGGTTACACAACCAATAACTTGATTCTTTTTTACTTGTGGGTGTATTTTAAGTTTGCAGTTATGAAATCACCAAGCCAAGTAAATTTAATTAAATATCAGCACTGTTCTTACCCAGACCAATTTCAGTCATGAGCAACTATATTATGTTGTTTTAAGTAAGGCTATGTCTTATAATGGGTTACACATATTCATTATTGTACATTTTAACGAGGGTTAATCTTCCTGAAGGTAACTTCAAGACTAAAATCGTAGTATTCATGGAAGTGCTTTTATGGTTAAAATATTGTTTTTTTAGTGTTTATTTTAAAAGTGTTTTCTTCAAGCAGCATCTTTATGACCCTCAAAATATGCCACATAGCAGGTTCTACATAGGCCTATTGATTTGATATGATAAAAAGTTTTGTTACATGTATTTTTAAAAATCTTTAAAAATAACTACCCTATAACATACTTGAACACTTATTAATTTACTAAATAAAATACAAATACAGCTAGAAAATGGTTGGACTGCTTCTCTTCTAAGGATTTATTATTACTGTTTTTAATTTTTGACGTTGAGCCAACATATAAGTAACACGATGAATTTGTTTTCCAAATTCATATGTAATTTTGCGGGGCATTGAGCCGCACAGGTTCACAAGTTACTTTTAAAGTTAATAAACATGTTTCTGATACTTACGAGTTTGAAGTTAAGTCTTCGATCACTACTAATCATTCATGATTCTATAAAGGTCTGATATTTAGAAAAAAAAAACATAATTGCCTATGCATTTTATGGGTCAAATCATGCATCGCTGCACAAAACAACTATAGGTGGATTTTCTACAGAAATACTATTTTCTCACATAACAAAACACGTTCAAAGCTCATGAAATTGTGTTTTTCATAAAATTATACATAATATATATTCGAATTTTAAATATAATTAATAAAATCCACCTAGTACATTTTGAGTTTTGAGTGAGATTGTTTCTAATTTAGAACATTAAATTGTTTCACAAGAAATTCCCTACCTTGAAATTTTGCAGAAGACATCCTGTTCGACTTACACCTTGGTTCGCCAACAACTGGAAGCGAACTAACTAGTGAGATAACGGACAACGTGTGGACATTAAATAATACTTTCACGGACGACATCGGAATGAATGACGAGCTTCTGAAACTGACCGGGGTCTTAGACCGGTATTGTGGTAGGAGTAGCTCGGGGCTCTTCTTGCTTAGAAATTTATAAATGAATTTGAATTGTGTAAACTTTCCTCTAACATA